GGGTCCGGGATGCGGCTCGAGGATGCGGTTCCGGGATGCGGTGCGGGATGCGGGATGCGGTGCGGGATGCGGGATGCGGGTCCGGGATGCGAGTCCGGGATGCAGTGCGGGATGCAGTCCAGGATGCGGTTCCGGGATGCGGTCCGGACGCGGCTCCATGGCCCTGTCCCCGCAGCCCTGGCCGCCGTCACGTCGGTGCCGCCCGCGCTGCCCCTGCCCGACCCCTCCGTGTTCCAGAGGCGCTACCTGAAGAAGATCCGCGACCTGGGAGAGGTCAGCGGCCTCCGTGTGCCCCATGGCCTCTGCGGCCTCCATGTGCTCCATGTCCTCCGTGTGCTCCGTGTCCTCCATGCGCTCCGCGGCCTCCATGTGTTCCGTGCGCTCGTGCTCCATGTGCTCCGCGGCCTCCATGTGCTCCATGTGCTCCGTGTGCCCCATGGCCTCCACGCGCTCCATGTGCTCCGTGTGCTCCGTGTGCTCCATGTCCTCCATGTGCTCCGCGGCCTCCATGTGCTCCATGTGCTCCGTGCGCTCCACGTCCTCCATGCGCTTCATGTGTTCCGTGAGCTCCACGTCCTCCATGCGCTCCATGTGCTCCGCGGCCTCTGTACTCTCCGTGTGCTCCATGTGCCCCATGGCCTTCATGTGCTCCGTGGCCTTCGTGCGCTCCATGCGCTCCGCGGCCTCCATGTGCTCCGCGGCCTCCATGCGCTCCGTGTGCCCCATGGCCTCCGTGTGCTCTGTGCGCTCTGCGTGCTCTGTGCTCTCCACGTCCTCCGTGTCCTCCGGATCCTCCGCGCGCTCCACATTCTCCGCGGCCTCCATGCTCTCCACGGCTTCCACATGCTCTGTGTCCTCCACACGCTCTGCATCCTCTGTGCATTCCATGTGCTCCGCGTGCTCCGCGCTCCCTGCGTCCTCCACGGCCTCCATGGACTCCGCACACTCTGTGTCGTCCACGTGCTATGTGTCCTCCACGCTCTCTGCGTCCTCCGCGTGTTCTGTGCACCCCGTGCATTCTGTGTTCTCCGTGCTCTCCATGCTCTCCGTGTCCTCCATGCACTCCACGTCCTCCGCGCGTTCCGTGCACTTCATGCGCTGTGCGTCCTCCATGTCCTCTGCGCTCTCCACGTCCTCCGTGCGCTCTGTGTCCTCCGCTTCCTCCGTGTCCTCTGTGCGCTCCACATGCTCCACGTGCTCTATACTCTCTGCGTCCTCCGTGTCCTCCATGCTCTCCACATCCTGTGTGCACTGCACGTTCTCTGCGCGTTCCATGCACTCCCTGCACTCTGTGTCCTCCGCACGCTCCGCACTCTCCACTTCTTCCATGCGCTCCATGTCCTCTGCACGTTCCATGCAGTCCATGCGCTCCACGTCCTCCGTGCGTTCCACATTCTCCGCACGTTCCATGCACTCCACGTCCTCTGTGTCCTCCATGCACTCCACGTCCCCCATGTTCTCTGTGCCCTCCGCATCCTCCGTGTGCTTCATGTCCTCCACGTCCCCCGTGTCCTCCATGCGCTCCGCATCCTCCATGTGCTCCATGTCCTCCGTACGTTCCATGCACTCCATGCACTCTGCGTCCTCCATGCACTCTGCGTCCTCCATGCGCTCCATGCCCTCTGTGTGTTCCATGCACTCTATGCGCTCCACGTCCTGTGCCCTCTGCGTCCTCCATGTGCTCCATGTTCTCCGTGGCCTCCATGTCCTCCACGTCCTCTACGTGTTCCATGCACTCCATGTCCTCCGTGCCCTCCGCATCCTCCACGTCCTCCGTGCGCTTCATGTCCTCCGTGCACTCCATGTGCTCCACGTCCTCCGCGTCCTCCATGCACTCCGCGTCCTCCGTGTGCTCCGCGTCCTCCGTGTGCTCCGCGTCCTCTGTGTGCTCCATGTCCTCCATGCGCTCCATGCACTCCGTGTCCTCCGTGCGCTCTGTGCTCTCTGCGTCCTCCATGTCTTCCGCGTCCTCCGTGCCCTCCGCGCTCTCCACGTCCTCCGCGCTCTCCACGTCCTCCATGCGTTCCATGCACTCCGTCTCCTCCGCGTCCTCCATACGCTCCATGCTCTCCGCGTCCTCCGCACGTTCCATGTTCTCCATGTCCTCCGTGTCCTCCGTGTCCCCCATGTCCTCCGCGTCCTCCATGCGCTCCACGTCCTCCATGCGCTCCACGTGCTCCATGCGCTCCACGTGCTCCATGCGCTCCACGTGCTCCATGCGCTCCACGTCCTCCATGTCCTCCACATCCTCCGTGTCCTCCACATCCTCCATGTCCTCCACGTCCTCCATGCGCTCCACGTCCTCCATGTTCTCCGCATCCTCCACGTCCTCCACGTTCTCCATGTGCTCCATGTCCTCCGCGCCCTCCACGTCCTCCATGTCCTCCGCGTCCTCCACGCGCTCCACATCCTCCACGTCCTCCTTGTCCTCCCCAGGGCCACTTCGGCCGCGTGGGCCTCTACCGCTACGACCCGGGCAACGACGGCACGGGGGAGCTGGTGGCCGTGAAGGCCCTCAAGGGCGGCTGCAGCCCGGGGCTGGTGGCCGCGTGGCGCCGCGAGGTGGCCATCCTGCGGACCCTGTACCACGAGCACATCGTCAAGTACAAGGGCTGCTGCGGCGAGCAGGGTGAGCGGGACGGATCCCGCGGGATCCGGGCGATCCGGGTGGGAAGGGACCTCTAGGGATCATCCAACCCCTGCACACGCAGGGTCACCCAGAGCACAGGGCTGCGTCCAAGCGGGTTTGAAGGTCTCCAGAGAAGGAGACTCCACAACCTCTCTGGGCAGCCTGTTCCAGGGCTCCGGCACCCTCAATGTCAGGAATTTTTCCTTAAGTTCCTGTGGAACTTTTGATGTTTCAGTTTGTGGCCGTTTCCTCTTGTCCTATCGCTCTCCACCAGTGAGAAGAGGCCGCCCCATCCTCCTCACGGCCTCCCTTGAGGTACCTATAGACACGGT